CTCTTTCCTCTTTCCCTTCCCCCAAAGGAGCTGCAGACAGGCACAGCAGACAGCTATTATCATGTCTAAAAGCAAGATACTCTTCTCCATCCTTTGTATGGAGTATCATTTAATCCAGAGCCTGACTTCTGGAATTAAAAGGCTGGTAAAAATGCAAAGACAAGGAGTACAAAGAATAAAAAACCTTCATGTTGGACCAAATCTTACTTGTGGGACAGAAATCAGCTCTCAGCCCCATTGTGGCTCTTTGAAAAGCATCCCCTCCCCCACGCTCCAATACCTGAGGAGGCAGGGGAGGGCTGCAGGTGTCCTGGTTGATCCCAAAAGGGTCTGGGAGTGGGTGTGAATTTCCCCAGACAAACCATCCATAGCCCTCTCTCCCCTTCTGTGAAATTGCTTTCTCCCACTCACTGGTGGTCACCAAATTCAAAAGAACCCCCAGCTGAGAATCACTGCTGTAGTTTGGTTAATTCAGGCAATTTCTCTAGTGTTAACTAATAGTGTTAGCTATTTTTGGTACAAGGATAGATTTCTATTGGATGCCTTTAAAAAAAAAGTGTTCTTGTAGACTCCAAGTCTTGAATATCTGAAAGTGAGTGTAGAAAAAAAAAGCAAAATCAGATAGTGGAAGATCATTCCAAGAGGCCTGGACAGAGTCATTTGGAGTGATTGAATGAAGTGGAAAAGCATTATGTACTTTTTGCAATGAAAGTGTTGTGTGTTGTACATCAAGTGTCAGATGGCACTTTGACACCAACCACAAAAATGTTGCTGAACTTGGTGCAGCTGAAAGAAAAGAGTTTATTGAAGGAAAAGTGAGGAACTCTCATTCCCAGAATCTTAGTTATTCCAACTACCTGTCCAGAACAAATCATCTGACAGCTGCCAGTTTTCAAATTTCACTGTGCGTAGCAAAACCTTTCTGATGGGATATTATCAAAATGACCATGTTATCTGGAAGTGATTTCCTTTTTCACGATTTCCCAAACATGGATAAAATTATGTAGCATATCTCTGACGTTCCACTTAGCAGAAATATTGTTAAAGATCGAATCCAGCACATAGCAACTGATGTTACTCAGCAGCTCATCACTGACCTACAAAAGGCAGCCTGTTACTCCATGAGCTTGGATGAAAGCAGCGATGTAAATAATCATGCAAGGCTAGCAGTAATGTTAATTATGCTGTTGGTGACATCATGAGAGAAGAGCTGGTGAAACTGGTGTTTTTGCCTGAAAGAACGTAAGGGATAGGTACCTACAATGCTGTGATAGAGGCTTTTTTGTCACAAGACATAAGACCAGAAAAAGTGGTTTCAATTACTAGTGATAGGGTACCTTCTATGGTGGGGGGAACATCTGGTTTCATACAGTTGTTTGTTAAAGAAAAAAAGCATAAAGTCATTCCGTTCCATTGTATTATACACCAAGAAGCACTTTGTGCCAGGGAAAGGAGCAAAAAATTTGAAGATGTCCTCAAAGATGTCACAAAAAATGGTGAATTTCATCATGGTTCGTGCTCTGAATTATCGACAGTTTAAAGCACTTCTTGAGGAAGTTCAGGCACAGTATAATTGTTTACTTATATGTCTGTTGGCTGAGCAGAGGATGAGTCCTGGAGAGATTTTTAGCCTGTTTGGATGAAATTAGGCTGTTTATGGATTAAAAAGGGCAGGAATATCCACAGCTCACTGATATGGCCTGGGTTACCGACCTCATATTTTTTATAGATTTTACAGTACACTTCAATGTACTGAACAAACAATTACAAGGTTTTGGGAAAACAGCAGAAAGGATGTTTTGTGATATCAAAACATTTGAGAGAAAATTGGAAGTTTTTGAAAGAGACCTTGAAAGTGGGAGCTGAAATATTTTCCAAATCTAAAAATGCATTTTGAAAATTCTACATTTGTAGACAATCCAACAAACCATCAGGAAATCTATAAGGAATTTTCTAGCATTGTAGCAGCTGCAATGGTAAATTTTGGTAACATATTTCCGTAAGATGGAGACAGCCCTGTGTTTTCTTACTTCTTCAGATGAAGCCAAATTTAAAGAACTTGATATTTCCTGCTTAGACTGGTTAGATTTAGGAAATCTGGAAATGGAGCTATTGGAATTTCAAGAAAGCTCCATGTGGAAAAATAAATTATGTGACCTGGGTGAAACATTTGAGAAGATAGAAAGGGACAGCAGAGTTAGTTCTGACACAGTTACTTGTACTTCTGAAATCAAAATTCTTAAAGTGTGGAATTCTCTTCCAAATAATTTTAAATCAATTGGGATTGCTTTCCTTGTTTGTTTGGGTCATCTTATGCTTGTGAGCAGCTGTTTTCAGTTTTGAATTATATCAAATCTGACACCAGAAACAGACTTTCAGATGACCTGAGTGCTGTAGGTGTTGCTCTCAAACGTACGAAGTATGAGTCAAGGTTAGAAAAATTATCAGTGTCCATTCAACAGCAAAAGTCACATTAATAAAAAGTATGCCAAAGGCAAAGTTTTACATTTCAATAAAAAGTTGTTTGTTTCATTGAAAGCACTGTTATTGTGGAGGTTTTTTCCAGAGAAAAGACGTTAATCATATATGAGTTGTTTTTTCTAAACTAAAATCTCATTATTCAGGTTAAATTGCCATATTGGCACTCTGAGATAAAAACGTGGGTTTTGGGTTGCGGTTTGGGCACAGCCACAAAAAGGTTTGCCATCACTGATCTAGAGTGTTGGCTATTCTTGCCAGCTTTGTATTATCCACAAATTTGTAAGTTCCCCTTCTATTCCCTCATCTAAGTCATTTATGAAGATATTGAAGAGTACTGGGCATAAGACAGAACCTTGTGGTATCCCACTGTTTACTTCTCTCCATGTAAATGTAGTACCATTAAGGATGTGGTACTCATGGAGTACAGTTTGTCAGCCAGTTACAAATCCATCTGGTGGTGATGCTATCTATCCCACTTTTTTTGTAGTTGTTTTACCAACAAGTAGGTTTTAGCCTACTTTGTTGAATGCATTGCTGAAGTCTAAGTATATTATGTCCGCAGTATTTCGCTGGTCTACTCATTTAGTCACTATGTTGAAGAATGAAATAAGATTAGTTTGACATGATCTGTTTTTAACAAACCCATACTGACTTCTAGTTATTACTTTACTAATTTCTAAATGTTAGCAGATCTGGTTTTTTTAATTATTATCTTTTCCAGTATCTTCCCAGGTATTGATGTTAGGCTGATTGGTCTGTAGTTTCCTGAGTCTGTTTTTTTCCCATTTTTGAAGATGGAAACCACATTATCTCTTTTCCAGTCCTCTGGTAGTTCCCTGGCGCTCCAGGATTTTTGACAGATGTAGTACAGTGGTTCTGAGATGACATCTGCCAGCTCCTTTAGAACTCTGGAGTATAATTTGTCTGGTCCCAGTGATTCATATTTATTAAGATCAGCCAGGCATTCTCTTACCAATTTTTTGCTTATTTTAACCTTTATTTCTAGTCTGTCTTTTATTGTTTTTGGTAGGTTGGACTATAGTTTCTTTTTGCGTGAAGACTGATGCAAAGAATGCATTAAGCAGTTCTGCTTTCTCTTTGCTGCCTGTTAATTGCTTGCCGTCTTTTCTCTTTAGTGGACTGACTGTTTCCTTGATTTTTTTTGTTAAAGTTTTTTGAAAGAGAATTCAAAACAGTTATATTGGCACAGCATATTTGAATTAAAGCCATTTTGAAAAGTTGATGAAACAAAAGAAGTAGCTCTAATCAATCTTCAGATGATACTTCCTACTAAATAATTTTTAAAACATTTTTTAAAAATTACCATATTTTTCAGAGTATAAGACTCACCAGAGTATAAGACACACCAGAGTATAAGATGCACCAAGATTTTGAAGAGGCAAATTAAAAAATGTTTTTGTACTCTGCAGACCTCCCCAAAAGAGTCCATTTTTTGTGAAAATGGGCCTGGTGGTTTTTTTAAAAAAAAGGATGAATAGCCTCTAGAAGTCTTGTAGAGTGCTCCTGGGGGGTACCCCCCCAAAAAATGAGCAAAAAATGGCCCATTTTTTGCAAAAACAGGCCCATTGTTTGTCAGAAAAAGTGCACGCATAGCGTTTAGAAGGCATATAGAGCGCTCCTGGGGAGGGGGGGGAAATTGATCAAAAAATGGCCCATTGTTTGCTCATTTCTGCCCTCCCAAGCCACCAGAAGCACTCTGAAAGCCTCCTAAAGGCTATGCCCAGCCATTTTGGTGAAGGGAGTGGAGTTTTGGGAGGCACAAAATGCTGTATTCAGTGTATAAGATGCACCCAGATTTTCAGCCTCTTTTTTGAGGGGAAAAAAGTCCATCTTATACTCTACCTTTACCATAGGACCCTTTACAACCAGTGAATACAGTGTGGAAGTAATTCACTTTTACTTGAATGACATTTTGAAAGAAAAGTCATTACAATGGGTTTGCTTTCACTAAGAGAATCAGTGTTTGAATAATAATGTATCTTTCAGTTTCAGTTTCAATTCAAAAAAATTGTATGCATTAGCATCCTGTTAATAAGGGACAGCTTAAAAAATGAAATTTCATATGTGAAAAAATTAAATATATTTACGATCCATTGTTGTTACAATTGAGAAATGAATTCCCCAGAATTCAAAATAAAACATTAGTACAATACACTACCCCCCCTCTACATAAACTCTACAAGCCCAATTTATAAAGGCTACATATACACATTGAAATGAGGTGATGAAGCATATTATGCATCGTTCAGTTTACTTTATTAAGATACTTCAACTATTATCCAAAACATCTGCAGAGGAACATATTAGTAAGTCCTGGATCAATCTAATCTTTAGCCAAAACTTAGATTGGGACATGAATAGACTTGAAAAAAATTGGGTTCTCCAGCAGGTTCTTTCTTGTCACTGAATGTCCGATTGAGTTACACAAAAGATACACATGGGCTACAGCCTAGAAATAGATAAATACTAATACACACACACACACACACACACACACACATTCCTATGATTGATATAAATGATGCAAAAACCCAGAGAAAAGAGGGATAACCTCTTGCTGAAGTGGCATAGAATGACCACATAGTAAGGTTATGCTATGCCAACTAGATTTAACAATGGCTTTTGGACTTCAGTGCATGGTGCTTCACACAATGTGGATGGATACGATTTCATTTAGTTCATTGATGCTAATGGATATGGCAATTTTATATCTACTCTTTTTGCATGTGTGCACACATACATACACACACATATATTCTCAGTCTCACATATACACAGTATATATAGAACTGCACATATGCTTGTATTGATGTAAATTTCCATATAGATATACATTCATAGGCACAGACATTTCCTTTTCTCTTTGGAAGAGAGTTTTGTAAGATCTGCCAACAAACTCTGCAGTCCTTAATGGCTATGAGCTTCAAAATGGACTCAAGATATCAAGTTCAGTGTCCTTGGAGTGACAGCGAATGTCACCGCTGTGGACAGAGAGTGGGTTTGATGCATCTTCCTTGGTGGTGGACTAAGTTGGCAGGACAATGGCATCCTGCAACACAGGGTTTATTGCAGGGACCAATCTCATTCCAATTGGCACAAGTCTTCACACAACCAGGACCGCACATGTTATAAACTGCACCATATTTACATTGGGTTCCTGGAAGACAATTCAAAGATATGAATTTCACAGCATTTACTTGATTGGATCTACAATTAGTCATCCTTAAAACAGATCCATGGGAATCACAGTCATAGATGCTATAGCTAATCATTACAATTATTAGTAGAATAATAAAAGAAAAGATGACATTTTTAAAATATCCAAAAGGATTTTTTTTCATAGAATATGACAACCTCACAACCTTGATGATAACTTACAGTGTTAAGATTTGAATATGTCTCAGTATCAACTGCCTTCTTTATTTTCCTGGTGCTGATTATGTTATACACATGCTAAATATTATTACAGCATCTTCTATTAATCTCCAACTTTCTTTTTGGAAACATTACAGAGTATTCTTCACAAAAGAATTAAAAAGTATCACTGGAACAAGGAGAGAAAGTATTGCATTCTTAAAATGCTGGGTTGAATTCTGTCTCAGAAGAGAGAAATCTCCGAAGTCTCATACAGCCTACAAAATCCATAACATTCAAGCTGTCTTTAAGGCTCTCCTATTCCTCTGCATTTCAGAGTGGGAGAAGGGATTGCACAGGGAGAAAAAATAATTAAAAATGCCTCTTTTACAGCTCTGCCAATAGGAACGGTCTGCTAAATATTATGTCCAGATGGCAGCTTTTGGAAGCTTGAGTCTAGAATTCCAAGAACAGATGATAAACAAGAGCGGCAATGGTGAAATATATAAGCAATAGTGGGATTTTTAAATTTTTATTTTACAATAACCTATGTTGGAATAAGGTTGAGGTGTGTAAAACAAGTATTGCTTTCTGTCTCTCAAACATGATCTCTGAAAGGAAATAATGTTTTCCTTGTTACAGATAAATTCTCAACCCAACTCACCTGCATATTAAGCTCCGCACTTGCCAAAAAGCCCACCATTCAAAAGGCATTGGATATGTTGTTGATTATATTTTTATGCAGATGTTTATTATACTTTTATGCAGTGAAAATTGGATATAAAAGATACATTGAACCAATGAACATTATTTAAAAAGCAGTTTTTGAAACTAAGGAATAAACAGCAACCAGAGGCCAAATCCTGACTCACCCAAACTGCTTTATAATCATAACATTGCCATACCACTTAATGTAGATTTCAACATTGAACAAGCTGCTGTTTCTAAATTATGGTCCCCTGAAATCATCCCCTTATCAATCCTGCCTTTCTCTAGAAAGATTTACATGTAGCTTAATGGACCAAGTGGTGAGTGTGGGGGGGGGGGGGTAATAATGCTTTTCCATGGCATTGAAAAAGGTTTTCCTCAATTGTTGAAAAGGTCTCTTCACACCAAATGCAACTCTTTCTCTTGACATAGAAATTGATTTGTTGAAATATTTGTGCATTTATTTTCCTATTCTTCTCTTTTATTTCCTCCAACCCACACAACCAAACAAATCTATTTCTTTTAATAGCTATGTCATTGAAATTATTGTTCTTGGATATCACTTTAGTGAAAACTGATAAGAGTTGTTAAAAGAAACTTAAGGAAGGAGGAGCTTAACAGGTGGATGCCAAAAATCTGGGACTCTAACAAGAACTTTGAATTCTGAGTGATAGCGATTTCTAAAGAAGACAAATGAGCCAGAGGAATAGCTGAGCCTGAAAAAGTCTTTTTGGGGAGTTTTTCTCACTGTCCATTTCTTCCTGCTTATTAGATTCTTCTTCCAATAACAGAGTTGGAAGGGACCTTGTAAGTAATCTGGTTCAACCCACCGCCCAAGCAGGAGACCATACACCATTTGTGATAAATGACAGTCCAATTTCTTTTTGAAAGCCTCTAGTGATGAAGCTCCCACAATTTCTGAAGGCAAGCTGTTCCATTGGTTGATTGTTCTCACTGTCAGAACATTTCTCCTTATTTCTAGGTTGTATCTCTCCTTGTTCAGTTTCCATCCATTATTCCTTGTCTAGCCTTCAGTGCCTTGGAAAATAGCTTGTCCCTTCCTCTCTGTGGCAGCCCCTCACTTATTTATCACAAATGTTATATTTATACTTAATCTGATCTATATTTATTTATGTTCCCCTTAGGGGCTACTCAAACATTCCTATTAGTTGAATGCATGAAGTATTCACCTATATCTGAGCCACAAATGTTTCTAGTACTGTAAGTCTTAACACTGATTTCTTTTTGCTGTAGAAGATTAATAACATAGCTATTCTTCTATTCCTTTACAAAATCAAGTTTACTTCCCATATGGTAGGCTCACAGAACTTTCTTTTCATTCATCTTTATTTCTTTTGCTCAATTCTAAGATCTTCCAAAAGAAAATATTTTAATTTTTATAAATGCATATGTTTTATTGTCCTTTGCATCTGTCTTTCCTTCTAGGCTTAGGTAATTATTCTGAACTTTGCTGTTCCAGTATTCCTGTTTAGTTCACCTTTTGATTCTTTGTTTTTTAAGACTACGGTCAATAACAAAGAGATAAATTTAGCAATTCATCCAAGACTAAAACCAGACTTTTTCTTCTCATATGCATCTGTCTTCTGTTTCCCACTTCAAATATTATAGTCATTTGTTTTATTGCTTCCACTCCTTTGCTTTAAATATTAGCATGAAATCAGAAGTTTAAAAGGTGAGTTTTTTCAATACCATTTTTAAATGTGTGTGTGTGTGTGTGCGCGCGCGCACGCGTGTGAATTATTTTAGTAAGCTCAAGGGCAGAAGCAGAGCTATGAACATATAGCTGTGTTAGTTTAGCTTCTCTATGGATGCTTGGATTTGTTACAATTAACCTTGTCAAGCATAACATAACATTTGGGCAAGCATAAAATAAGTGCTTTTTGCACCCTATCCAGGGTTTTAAAAGCAATGTTGTACCTCTCAGCATAACTACAAACACTTGAACTTAAATTGTTAGCAGGATCAGTATTCTAGGCAATTATTGATTTGCTTATTTATTCCCCTTTCCTTTTTCCCATCCAATGAAGGCAGATTTTATTAGTTACATTTCTATATGAGCTAGAGGCAGAGCAGAAGATGTTATTAATTAGCCAGAATAATTCCGGTCTGCAACTTTGTGGTCTTTCCACTAACCACTGCTCCCTTCAACAGACTTAAACAGACATGGTGTGCATACAATATGAAGTAAAGAAAGGGGAAGCAGAGCAAAAGTAGGGTTTTGCAAACTTCCTTTACCCTTCATGCTGCAATGCATGAAATGGTGAATTACTTACCAGCACAATTTTCTTCAGGTTTCCAATGGACCTTCAGACCTTCTCTCTGACAAGCTCTAGCATAAGCTAGAAATGACTCACAATAGCAGTGTTTATGAACTGGGCACTCACACATATCTGTCACACAGGATCTGCAAGAAAGAAGGGAGTGAGCGGGATCTCTCAGAGTCTAATTTTTAGAAATGTATACAAATGGTCACAGCAGGAATATGAATTCCTGCATTCATAGACATTAATGTTGCCTCTATAAATGTTTTATAAATAGAATGGTAATAGAACCCTCGTAGTGGTGGTACTGATTTATTTTATTTATCGAAACTACCCAGTGAATCCATAATCTAACAGAACATGTGCTCTCAGAAATAATTAAGGCTATAAACCTCTACATTCAAATTTTCTCAGTAAAAATAATACTATTTTTATTTTATTAAATTGGCCACCCTACTCAACATGATGACTCTGGGCAGCTAACAGCAGTTAAAAACCACAAACAATAGTAAAATAAAATGAAATACATAACCCACAGCCAAGGTAAAAAAACCATACAATGACAATTAAAATCATCCTTTCATAGGCTCTGACCATCCAACTTCCATACCCAGGAACACAAAGAGACAGAGGTGTTGTAGAAGGACAGCAGGGCTGGGGTCATTCTAATTTCCAGGGAATAATGTTCCCAAAGGGCAAGTGCCATCACAGAAAAAGCTGGTTTCCTGGGTCCTGCCAAATCATACTCTTTGAATGACAGGATCCATACTTGTCTCCTCTGCTGGAATGAATCAAATAATCAAGGGAATAAGGGTTCTGCAAATTACAAAGTCCCATGCCTTGAAGGGCTTTACAGATGACTGCCAGCATCATGCATGACACCCAGAAGAATACTGATAACCAATGCAGAGCTGGAATTGTTGCAGAAAATGACAGTACTTAGATGTCTCGGGATTCATGGTGAAGTTTATTGGCAGCCAGGTTCAGAAAACTAGTCAAAGGCTAGTATTGCAAGTTCTGAACAACCTTCATCATTGAAGCACACATTCTTATACAT